CCCTCCTCGGGGCGCCTCCGGGGCTGGGCTGGGGCGGCCGCGGACCTGCCTGGCCATCAGGCCGAGCGTTGACCATCCGACCTGAGATTTGCTGTTTTTGTTTTCTGGGGTCTTCCCCCTTCCCCCGCCGAGAGAAGGAGGAAAAAGGATGACCGTTGTTGTTCTTTTTAAGAAGGAGAAAGAAGCTCACGCCGTGTCCAAGCCCAAGGGGGAATTGTTGACATCCAACATCTCTAGCTAGCTGATTCGGGTTGGAAAGGTGTTTTAGACTAGATCACGTAGCAGTCAGATAAGTATCCTTTAAAACAAAAAAAGGAAGAAAAAAAAATCCAGATAGTTCCTGACGAATTAACAGGTGTACACCACTCTCTCGGGGTTTGTATTTGGTCAGGGAGGGGAAAGTGGAATACAGTCTTGCCTGTGTTCAGTTACTTGTTAAGAGTCTTTATCTTCCTGATTTGACTTTTTTTTTTTTTAATGATAACTCAAGGTAAGAGCCATCGTGAAAATATATCTCAAAATGCATTGTCATCTTTAATTAGGGGCAGGTGACTTTGTTCATTGTAATGTCACAAGTCCTCATATTGAGTTTAGACCCGCTCTGTTTAAATGTCGTCTTTTAATCAAGTTGAGGTCAAAGCCACACCACAGAACCTGTCCGCTTTTCCTCTGTCGTTTTCTCTAGCATTGGCATCAGGGTAGAAACTCTTCAACGACCTGCAGAAGTCACATGTAAACTGATGAAAATTAGTGAAAAATCGTGGACAATTACAAGTAATCGAATTTTTCAAACTGAGCAAAGCTAGCTAAGATGTGGATTTGGTTCATCTGAAAATAGTTTGATTATAGGCATTTTGCAGATCCATTCTTATCTGCCTCCCCTAATTTAGTTTGGACACTGTTTAATGAAAGAGGCCTGAAATAGTTTCACGCATTCAAAATACTTGGCTCTTCCCACTTTCTGAGTAAATTTTTTTTTCCACATCCGTGCTGATTACTCAGTTACTTGGACTTTTAAAAGTCTCTGTCTGGGTGACTGCCCTGATGGTGCTATCTGATTCATTCAGGAATGTAGGCTGCTTTCTTATTGATGACCTCAGAGAACTTAACTGCTTTATCTTAAAAGTGAGAGTAGTTTTGTTGACTTGGTCCTGGGAGATCTAAGGCCAGAGGAAGGGGAGTAGGTGTTAAGGAGGAACCTCTGTCTTCATGCCTAAGTGACCCTACTTTTCAAAAATAGAAGCCAAAGTGCAGTAGCCTCCATAGAGAAGCTTGTAAAATATTGTATTTTAAACTTTGACTGACATAGCAAGTTTTTCCTTTTTTCTTTTTCTTTTTTTTTTTTTTAATTATAGGTCTGATTCTTCTCTCTCTCTCTGCAGGTGCAGTTTTAGAAAATAAACTTGCATATTAAATAAAGTGCAGTAGCTGAAAGCGAAAGAGTCACTTGTGTGAAAGATGAAAATCTTGCTTTCTTATCCAAATCATGCTACATTTGAAATAACAAATCAGTATTTTTCATGTGTGCTTGCCTTTAAGCTGCTTAAAAGCTGAGATTTTCTGGGTAAACTGAGAAAACTAGAGTGCTGGCTAACTTTAAAGCATACTGTTGATATGCTGGTGAAAATGGGTTGTGAAGAGAAATTTGGAAACCTCTCCTGCTCTATGATTGGGCAAACGTACTTGCCACCTCAAATTTAAAAAAAAAAAAAGCCTAAAAATTGGCACCTGTGGGCATAATTTACCGTGAAAATGGTGTGATCAAGCAAAGCTATCTTCTAAAGCCAAAGTAATCTTTCAAGTTTGCATACTCCAGAATAAGCAAAGTTTTAGGAATTATTATCGACTACAAATTCTGTGATTAATTCAGTTCTCAAAAAGTTTATTTATAAATTATAGATTATACATACTAAATAGAATGAGATTCTAGACTTGAGTGCTTATTCCTATGTTGAGGTCATTAGGATTCTAATTTTTGGTTGTTTTCTCATGCCAGATTATCACCATGAGGTGTATAAGATCCCAGAATTCAGCAACGATGTTAATGGGGAGGCCAAAGAGACACAACCCATTTTTTTAGGTAGGTTCCTATGTCAATTAATTTCTCAGCAAAACATCGTGGCCATTTGCAATTAGGGGGAAAAAGGAAATTGTTCAGGAACGGGAAATGTCTGCCATTGCTTAATGTATGACATTCTTTTCAAGACCTTTTATTTTACAGATTGCCAATATATCCCTTATTAACATTGCTAAAAGTTGTAATTTCAGACATAAATGTTTATTAGTGTCTACACACAGTGCTAATTATCACTCACTCACAGAGCCAGATGCTGACTGTGCAGTTTTGTGGCTCTGCGCTCACCCCATTTACATTGCATATTCGCTGGCATGCTTCACTGGCAATAGTTTGTGTAATTGGGGTATTACATCTTTGACATCTGGATAACAGAAATTCAATTTCCAGGAAGCTGCTATTTGTTTGGTTTTGCTTCTGCCTTGGGTGGGATAGAGGATTAATGTGCTGTCTTGTTATAATGTCCCTTCACCTCTGTGGCCCAGTTGCTAATCCTGCCATGACGAAATTAAATTAAATCTACAGTCAAAAAGCATAAGGAAAATAAAAGTGTGATTGGCTGCCTAAACAGCTCTTGATAGTGCTAGTTATCATCAAGGAGCTCCTCATTTTCCTGGCTTTGTGCTCCTTTCACACCAGCATTTTGGGGCAGGGGGAACAGTATGCTTTCCTCTTACCATCCTTGTTCCTAGCTTACATCAGGGACAAGCAGAGCTAAAGCAGCATCTCCGAGACTTTCCAGCAAGTGTAGCTGCATGATGAGTGGGTAGGTAGCCACAAACATTGCCACCTTTTCCATGTGCAGTGTTGGCGCACATGCTGTACAGGAAAGACTTTGGATGTGCAGTTTTTTATTTGCACACCATCCACCAAAAATGCAACCATGTAGGATTTTGCCTCTAAGAGTGAAGTACCCATAAGGTCAGAGTGGAGAGTAGATGGTGTGGCCTTTGGCTTCAACCTTGCCCATCTTGGACCTCTGCAATCCCAGGTAGCAGGGTGAGGGCCCAGCACTGCACAGCAAGGAAGCAGAACATGAGAGGGATCAGAGCGAGAGCGATTACCATCAAAGCCACAATTACCCCATCAAAGGGGACTTCAGGTAGCAGGACTGCTGCCCAGACCCAGTGTGGGTCAGCCTTCAAACGAAGCTCTCACCGGGATCTCCCTGGTTTTGCTTTGAGGAATAGAAAGGGTGGGTCGGGATGCATTGGGAAGAAGTCAAATATTAATATATACTTTAAGAGGAAAAATAGGGAAATGTCAGCATTTCTTACATGAGCGTTCATTGATGGCACGTGGATCTTTTTGCTAAGGGAAAGAATAGCACTGGTGCCAGCACTGCTCCCAGTACCTGTTTACTGTTAAAGAGAGCTAGGAGCCAAAAGGTTAATAATCAAGTGAAATGCTGTGGCCCAGAAAGAGAATATTCTTGGATTTCAGTCTTTCCAGTCCCCTAAACTTGATCAGTTGGAATTCTGTTTTGTTTTGTTTTGTTTTTTAGACAGAGTTTCGCTCTTGTTATCCAGGCTGGAGTGCAATGGCATGATCTCGGCTCACTGCAGCCCCTGCCTCCCGGGTTCAAGTGATTCTCCTGCCTCAGCCTCCCGAGTAGCTGGGATTACAGGTGCCCGCCACCACACCTGGCTAATTTTTTGTATTTTTAGTAGAGACAGAGTTTCACCGTGTTGGCCAGGCTGGTCTCGAACTCCTGACCTTAGGTGATCCACCCACCTCGGCCTCCCAAAGTGCTGGGATTACAGGCATGAGCCACCGCGCCTGGCTGGTCAGTTGGAATTCTGTATTGTCAAAGTACCACTCTATAAGCCATTTGAAATAACGAATTTGCCCTTTAGTAGAAAATTTACGTTCACCATACAAATGGAACATCATGTCCTTGATTTAGTTCTTCTCCAGCAAGGCAGGCTTTCCCGCGCTTTCTGCTGTATACTAGAAAAGTGGTAAGGTCACTATGAGGGAAGTGAATTGTAAGGATAAGAGAGGGGAAGCTGAAGAGCAACAGGATACTAGTGCCCAGCATTCAGTAAGCTGGAAACTCCCGAAGATGATAGACGTTGTTGATTTTCTTCTTCCTGGTCCGAGTTGAGGAAGATACAAGAATTCCAATGAAAGACCAGGCTTGAGATAGATACACTTTCAAAGTGGTTGCTCAAGAAGGCCTTCAATATCAAGAGACAAAAGATTGAACAGCCTGGGAGTGTGCTGTGGGTTATTCTCAATCTTTTGTGCATTCTGAGGTCACGATGTAGTTGGTTCCCAAATAACATTTTTATTTTGTGATCTCTAGGTCAGTTAGGAAAAAATAACAGAAATTGTCACAGAAACATGATTTCTGGAACAATTGAGAATAGTTACCGATGGCATCTGAAAGTAGGAATTTTTTGTTCACAGTGTTATAGTTTATAGTTTTATAGTTACACTTTTCAAAACATAGATTTAAATATTTCAATTATGTTTACTTTATAAATTGCTAAAGCCTGTCCATAAAGATGTAGAATTCTATGGGAAGCTTATGACATCCAAGGGGGTTTGGTACCAAAATACTAGAACTCTTTCCCCTATAACAAAGTACTGACACACTGTCCCAGGGATATTCTATAGGATTTTCTACATTCAAACATATGTGTTCCCTTTAGTACTATCTGCATCTATAAGATCAAAGTTTATGTCCTAGGTGAAAAAGAGTCTTCCAGAATGTAGCAGAGGTTCCCACATCAAGTCTCCTTCTGTGGAACATTTTTAGGCTGTTAACGAACATAGTGCATCTCACATGGTCGGGTAGCTCAGTAGTGTAAATGGCTTGGCCGAGTGCTTTAGGAATTACATATTTTTAATTGGATAATAGGGTCAGAAGACGTTACTTTACCCTGTGGACATTGACTTTCTCAAGCTGGCTGTGATGGGACTACAACGAAGATTTAAGCACTGTTTGAAGGAAAACGGTTCCCTTAAGTCAATTCACCCAGTGTCTTTATGAGAAAATACCCCGAACTCAGCACTTTTCTGGAATGGGAGTGGGGTCGGAGATAGTCACAGAAATGGATAGGACAGGGACCTTGTTCTCGGAGATTCAGATCCAGTTGGAGAGGAGACAGGACAAATTCAGGAAACAGGGTGCAGTATTCAGCAATCATAAGAGCTGCAGTTGTTTAAGCACTTACTGTGTGCAAGGCAGCACATTGAGCACTTTACATGAAAGACCTGAGTGGCTCTTCGCAGAATGTCTGTACGAGTTATCGTCATCCCCATTTTGTAGATGAGCCTAGAGATGTCAAGGTGACCTGCCCAAGGTCTCTCAAGTAGGAAGTGCCACAGGTGGGGTTCCAGTGCAGGTCTGCCTGAGCTTTGAACACTGTACTTAACCGCCTCCCTGTGAACAGTCATTAAACGACAAATGTGAATGGTCAGGGCAGCAGCAAATGCAGAGTTGGAAGGGGTAGAGGGGAGGGCTCTACAAAGCAGAGATGTTGAACTACAGGAAAGATTCGCTCCTGTATTTCTCCTCCCTGGAGAAGATTCCAGGTGGGAAGGGTGAGGGAGCCGGCAGTAAGCATCATTATAGCTCGACCATGAGTGTTGCACCTTATGGTTTAGAAAGTTCTTTCACATCTGTTTTCTCGGGATTTTTACCATATACCTGTGGGGTACTTAGGGTAGATATAATGATTCCTATAATGATGGGAACCAAAGCTCAGTTACCTGACCTGCTCATTAATAGCAGAGACCAGAGTAAACCCAGGCCTCCTCTCAAAGATCTTTCGCCTCTGCCCTGTGGAGCCAGGCAAAGCCAAGGCTCATGGAGGAGGCCTTAGCTGCTAGCAGGGCACTTATAGAAGGATTTTAATGAGACAATTAATTTATTATTCATAACACTAATACAAATATAAAATGAAGTCTCTTTTGACACATTGGATTTTGGGTTACATTTATCATAGTATGTACATTTGAAACATGTTTGTCAGTGTTCAGTCTCATTCATTTATTCATTCAACAGAAATTCACTGTGCTCCTTTTACATCCATGCCAAGCCCTGTTCTAGTTACTCTTTTTAGTATTCAGTTCAGTTATTCAGCTTTCCATAGATGAAGCACACAGTGTGGCTGCCATGCCAGGTGAGCAGGATCGACATCTCTGAAACTCTGAAATCTCTTTTCAGTGGCTTTCTTGATGACAGCTGCCCCCACTAGAGTCCCCAGAATCTCCCCAAAGAGGACACACTCGAAAAATTCCTGTGCACTTTTACAAATTAGAGAGTTATCTCCCATCCACGACGTCATTCTCCTCCCGCAGGACTGGGCAGGTCTGTTTGTAAGACAGAGGAGGTCTTCACCTGGAGTCAGGTGGCCTGGGTCCCACCCTGGTTCTTGGTTGGTTTCAAAAGGCTTAGGAGCTGAGCCCCTGCTCCCAAGAGGAAGAAGGGTCTAGTGTGTCACCATATCTGGGGCAGGAGTTGCAAACTTAGGGGAAATGAAGGGCCAAGAGGGAAAAGTAGAACCCCGAAATCCCAGTATTTTGAAGCAGGTGCTTCCCGACTCTGTTCCTCCCCGTCAAAGCTCCACCTTCAGCACGCTGGCCCCACTGTGTCCTTGTGTCCCTGTGCTCTTTCATGTCAGGCCTCTCCTTTTTTGGTGGTGGAATGAACGGGACAGACAACCAGGAGTGTCTCTTGGGGTTAAGTATGTGGCCGGTAATAGTGTCATTTACCCAGAGCTTGCTGTGTGCCAGGCACTATGTAAAGGACTTTGTAAATGTTATCCCATTAATTGTCCCAAGAAACGTGTTGTTTTTCCCTCTTGATGGATGAAGAATTTGAGGAGTTCACAGAGTTACTCAGTGCCAGAGCCAGGACGCAAGCCAGGGTCTGCCTGTCTCCAAAGCAAGCCCTTAACCGCATGGCAGGCTGTGTTCAAACGCGCTCCCAGGCGAAACCCCCGGCGTGTCCAGTAGATCAAAGGGGAGCAGAGCTGCTTGAAGAAAGGTCGAGG